GTACAGCCACACCAATACATGTGGACTCCCAGACCAGACAGCTGGCATTTTTTTTTTTTACCACTGGTCAAACCCGAAAATGTATTTTGATTGCGGACAGTATTGAGCATGGGTACATGGAATAATGACATTTACTCTAAGATGGAAACCCCATTAGTGGTGGTCTATCAGGAAGAGGGCCCCCTTAAGTACCTAGTGCCTGACCTAAACATGTGCCAAATAATGAAAGAGGTTCATTGGCTCTGCCCAGGGGAACCATTCCTAATCAATACCGCAGAAATAATGTGCAGTCTGTCAACCCTAACCTCCAGGGAGACTTGCAAGTTCAAGCTAAGTAAGCCCAACGAAAGAACCGAAACAGTGGCCATGATAGCCGATGCTCAGTGGTTAGTAAGCACCCCTCTAGATACGGCAACCGTTTCCACCGATCAACACTCCGTAACCATGAAAGTTCCGATTCCAAGCCACATTGCCCAGGTCACAGTACCAAGAGGAACATTCGTACACATAGGGGACAAGGTATTATATAATTTAGACAAAAGCCTACATCAAGCAGAGGTATAAATAGTAAACACATTCCGAAACCACAAGTTTGAAATAAGCAGAAACTCTGTCTAACCTGTTGAAGAGTAAAGCATTTCATATGGTGAAATTAATCAGCGAGTCAGAGGTTAACGTAACAGATCTCACTTCGGCGACCGAAGAAGCCGGATATCAGCGGAATCAACGGGTGGGACTGGGAATCACAGGGGCAACAGGAATGATCATACTAGTCATAGCTATCCTAACCATAGCATACCATATGGCCAAAATGAATGCCGAACTTAAAAAAAACGAATCGCAGGGACAAGCCACATACCATTCGAGCCCAGGAACAGAGGTAGAGTCAAGGCCTGACGATTCCACCCAAGGGTAACCATAAAAAAACATATTTTTTACGACATCTCCTATAACATGTAGTCAGGATTGAATTTCCCTTGTTTAACCTTCCTTTTTGTATTTATTTTCTTATTTCAAATGTAATCATGCTAAGTTGTGACACGTATGCGCACGTTGTAAGGATAAATCAGCCAAAGCTGGAGGACAATTGATGATTAATGATGGAAAAGGGTATATATTTTTTATTTTGAAAATGACCTGTGGCCAATTGACCATCGATCATTTTTAAAAGGGCAGTGTTGTATATATGGCCCCTTTTCCATCTTAATATTAACAAGTAAATTTTCGATACATATAGATACATATTTTTATTGTTTTTTTTTTAACAATGATTAAAAACAACCCAACCCAGGCCATCAGAATGGCATGTGGAGGTCATGGACGGGCCATGGAATTAAATAAATAATTACTACCAGGTTCAGAGGTCACAAACCAAGTGCTGAAGCAGGCAGACGAAAACCAGAACTGACTCCAAGGACACTCCCCCACCACAGCGAGACGAAATTAATGAGGAACTTGAGATGCACGGCATGTGTAGACCGGATAAAGGTGCAGCCCTGAAATAGGGCGGGAGAGACCCCTCCGGGTGTCTTTGCTAAAGCTGGCAGTTGCACAATAATGGGGCAGAGAGTGGGGGCCAGAGAGTGTGGGGCAGAGACTGAGAGAAACAGCGAGCAGGAATAAGGGCAAGTGGAGAAGAGATGCTTGGAATATCAGCGTGTCAGCGAAAACCCTAGCAAGTGTTTAAGTAAGATATAACAATACATTATTTCATCCATAACGTTCATGTTGGCGCTATTCACCCTGAACTATACTACGCTTACACAAAGATAAACTGCATGACTTGGGCGATGTTAAACCCAGGGCCGGAGAGGAAGGGAGATCCCGGCCGTCTTTGTCTCCCCGCAGCGCGGGGTAGGAATGTGTATACGCTCGGGGAAAATGAGTCAAACACCACAACGGGAAGCTAACACAGACCTTGGGTTCAATACAGAATCATAACTGTGGAGGTATGATTAAATGAAATGATAACTTAACACTTTTTAACCATTCCCTTGTGTGTCGGGGACATGATGCAGGGAGGGAAGCTTGCCCTCCCTCTCGTGCAGGCAAACAGAGCGGCAGACAGAGAGACGCCTTCGAGACAATTTGTAATGTCCGGTTGTTTTACTTTTTGATGGTTATTGGAAGGAGGAGGACAGCGTTATAGGCCGTGGATGACGCACACAAGGACACACACTGACACACGTATGGACACACACATACGGACAGATCCTGACACAGCAAAATCGGAAGGAGCTCCGCCTTGTGGGCAGGATCCAAGTGAAGGGATTTTTGGCATAAAGAGAGGACCCTGCAGCATTGATACCTCCGTTCGATCAGTTCAATCAGTTCGCTCGGAACTCGGCGGAGTTCGACCGGGGGTCGGCTCACGAGAGAGGTCGACCAGTTCGTCCGGAACTCAGCTGAGTTCGGTCGGCTCACTGGAGCCGGACCCTCGGGGCTCAGTTCGACCGGTGGGTCGGCTCAGGAGCAGTTCAAACCGGGAACGAGAGCAACAGGTCGCCAGCCGGCGAGCTGCAGAGCAGGGGGCGGCCAGCGGAGGCCAAAGGGGCCCCGTCACTACCCACTGACGATGGCGAGACTCGCAGGGTTGTGAGGCGCCACCGAGTGTGAGTTCAAAGAACTGAAAGACAGTATCGCTGAAAGTTATTCTACATTGAGTCCAGCTGCAGCGCGATTGACGCACCAAGCAAGAGCTTCAGCAGTGGAGAGAAACCTGCTGTCAGAGAACCAGCACGAGCGTGATCGCTCAGCTCATCCAGCATCGGAAAGAGCCCCGTGAACAAGCAACACCAGGAGGGAGCAGCGTGCCGGCGCAGCTCATTCCCCAGCGGCGTGAGAAACGCCGAGCGAGAAGGAACCTGCCTTCGTTCGTATGCCCCTCCCCCACCTTCACAAACCCGCTGCGCTTACGTTGTCTGCTCACACAAGAAGTTACCAAAAGAACAATCCTACGAACCTAACACTAAGACTAATAAATCATCAGCTGGCCACGAAGGCATCACCGCCCCTCAAATGATAACGATGCGTCGGTTATAAGTACATTAATTAAGTTTTTCTATTATTGAAAGTTTCTGATGGTACTTCTAATCGCATAAATTACCCATAGTTTCATCTATCCGAATTAATCATTGAGACCTTCGCCACGGGCTGCGCTCACAGGGAGAAATGATGTTAAACCGGCTTCCTTATCATCCAATCTTGTACATGAATTAATTAATCTCCCGTGAGAAGCACGTCCCATCGCATACCTTATTCCAAGCCATCTCATAATTATACAATATCGCTGATGAATCTATGAACGCATATTTGTGCCTTTAGGAATAATAATCGTATGAATACCGTCGCTTAATATTAAGGACTTTATTCATATTTTCTATACGTTCGTGTTACGCTGCATAATAATTAATTGCCCTGTTAACAACGTGATAAGGATTGCCTATGGATCAATGAATGAGCATCCGGGAGTACTATGTGGCCGATTTCAAATATAATAATTCATAATAGAATGTTAAAGTTTTTGTTTAGAATAGCTTGCACGCATGTTTTAATGACTCTCTCTCTCTCTCTTCCAAACAACAATTGCGTTATTTGGGATCCATGTGCCGTTGTCAAAGTTAAATCGTACAGTCGTTGATGATACTGTATCGATACCGTGTTGAAGTTCCGAGATTGAGAGTTCACATACTATATTATAGTTAAGGTTTAATTAGAAATAAATTGATTAATACAGAAGTGGTCGTGTGATTATTTCCTAAAATTGTTGCCTAAGATCTGTATCCTGCGATGAGATATGAACCTGGGAACAACACATAAACACACTAATCCATACCTAGTAAACGTTAAAGCGAAAATCATTGTATTATACTGATCGATATTACGAGAGGAGAAAACGAGACCGTTTTTGACACTAGCATAAATGCATACAATTGATTGCATTATCCCAATTGATAACACCACCTCGTCAACGAGTCGGGGACTGATTATCATAAAGGCTGTCGTTAACATAACCGCACCCACTCGTATAAATCAACACGATTACCTCTAGAATTAGCATAATTTATACGTATAATTACACAAATTATCATAATTTCGGATTAATTTTGCAAAATTCAAAATTCATTTAAGTTTCATTATTTTCATCAAATTTTCACACACCCACTTATACAACAAGTGGGGGTGTGCGTAGGTGAGTGAGTGGGTGAATGAGTGTGAGGACTGGTAATGTAGCGGTATGCACACTGCACTGCGTAGAAGCGACCTGGCGACACGTGCTGATTGCTCATCAAAGTGCCTTTTCACGTGGAAATGTATAGCAGCCAAATACCCTAAAGGCAGATTTCTAAACGTGGAGGGAAAAAAACCGGAGGAACTGGAGAAAATTAGGATCTTGCACTGAAACTCTGAGACGCAGTCAATAATTTACATTCCGTTGCACTTTTTAAAGTCCTGGTTGTGAAGGCTGCCTTCGCGATTATGAAACAGCTGCAGCCTCCATCCTGCACTTCGTTTTACGTCAACAGTTTAATCCCAATTTGCCCACAGTGAACGCCCTAAGTAGAATAAGTTACTTTTCATTTGGCTCTCGTTCATCTTAATTCTCACGTAGCAGCCACTTTCCTCAACCAACCGTGAACCCACTGCACCCACGCGTGATGGTCAGCGTCTAAATGAGCGTGAAGGGACTGGAACGTGCTTCGTCCATAGCTTAAAAAGTCGCCCTTTTGCTCTCAAGAAACGCACTGTCACGTTGATGTTGTTGTGTGCAACTCCTGATGAGTGAGACCCTTCGTGTTGTTAGCGATCTTTCACCAAGCACCTCGGTGCCTGTTTCATGACCAGAATGCACGCAGGTCTCCCTTGCCAAAGGGGTCACTCTGCATTAATGCACTCAAGCCTGGGTGAAATAAAGGAGGCCTTCCAAATGGGTAGGATTTGTAGGCAATCTGGAGTCTGTAATGGAGCCTAACGAAGATTGTCATGGCAGAGGGACGTACCGAGAAAAGGCAGAAGCTTAGTTTGGACGCCGCCCACTGAGATGACCTTTGCGAGGTTCAGACCATGGGAGACGGGGGCTGGGTAATACTGAGTCTCCTGGGAGACGGAGCTCCTCCTGCACTCACAGCACAGGACACACACAGAGTCTAATGAGGGGCCATGTCTCTCTACACTCACAGCATGATACGCACAGTTTAATGAGGATCCATGTCTCTCTACACACACAGCATGATACACACAGAGTCTAATGAGGGTCCATGTCTCTCTACACAACAACCGCCATTCGCCTCTAAGTGGCAGTGACGTGCACCCTGAAGCCACGTGAAGTGTCGAACGCCCGCTGGCAGGAGGTCACGGGGCAGACCCTGGTGCCACAGGTCGACTGACTGAGATGACTGAGATGACTGGCTGATGCACCACCTGTGCCCCCTACTGTGCCACCTTGCTGTGCTTTAGCCACCTGGCGCTCCACTCGTTGTTGTGAGCGCCGCTCCTCCGCCCTCTGTTGTTGTTGGAGGGCGACTGCCTCCAACTGTCCAATAGCATCCTTCACGAGCCTCCTCCACAGAGGCTGATCTTGACACCGCTGGTACCAGTCATCGGCAAGTCCACTCAGCTCCACTGTTTCCTGTACCACATCACTCCATCTCTTCTCTAGCCCGTGCCGCGCCCGTTTATACCCCTCTATCCGGCCGAACAAAAGCTGTTTAGGCATGCGGTGGCTGGGCATGCGGGCTACAGGACCCAGCCAACGCAGCCTTGCCTGCCGGAGGAGCTCAACGATTAGACTTTGCCCAGATCTTTCAAGGATTTGTGAGCTCCTCACACAATCCAGCCTGGTTAAACCAGGATGGATCGTAGGCAGGCCAGCCTAAATGTTTCTAATCAGCAAAGATGCTTCATTAGGAGGGTCCACGCTTCGCAAGCGTAAAGAAGGGAGGGAATGACCATGGCCGAGAAGATATGAAGCTTCGTTCAGAGCGACAGACCAGGTAGCTTCCACATATCGTTACGCAACCGATGAAAATATATTGCTCCTCGACTGATTCGGAGTGAGACCTCTGCTGTTAAACCGGAGCTGGTCATGAGCACACTGCCCAGGTATGGGAGACTCTCCACTCTCTCCACAACTGCCCCATCACTGATTGGGAGGTGTGGGAGTGGAGTGTCCGATGGTACAAAATACCCAGGCAGGTGCTTAGTTTTGGTGGGGCTGATGGTAAGGCCTCACCTCTGAGTGGCACGCTCCAGTTTCAGCAGCAGCATCTCCAACTCCTCCTCTGAATGAGCAGCAATTACCAAATCATCGGCATACATAACGTGGTTGACCACTCACAGCACAGGACACACAGAGTCTAATGAGGGCCCATGTCTCTCTACAAATGGACCAAACAGGCAACCCTCGACTTGTGAGCACCAGCTCCCATGAAATTAAAAAATAACTTTGACTTAAAATCCAAACTCGCAGTTGCAAACTGAACCGCTGAACTATTTTGTTCAGAGGAGCAATCCTCTGCCATTTGTGATGAGCCAGCCTCGTGCTGGGAGTGTTTGCATGTGTACGAACATTGTGCGTGTGTTAACATTATGTGTGTGTGTGTGGAAGTGTGGGGGGTATAGCTGCTGCATCTACCAGTCATCTCTGTCAGCCAACCCATGGCACCTGGGTCTGTCCCGAGACCTCCTGTCAGCGAGCCTTCGACATTTCACGTGACCTCAAAGTGCACCTGGCCGGGCACAGGCGCCGTGGTAACGTCACCATAACTTAGTGGCGAATGGCCGTTATTGGTATTGGTGTGGGGAGCGGTAGGGTAGCGGTGAGTGCGCTGTGCTACGAAAGCAACGACCCGAGTTCGATTCTTGCTCACGGCCAACACCAGTACCTGGTGTGGGGTGTAAACATCGCCACTGGGGAGACAAAAGCAGCGGGCCGTGACGCTGGCCACCCACCCCCTCGTGTGCCACAGTGGCGGTCATCTTAGGCGCTGCTCGCTGAGAGAACTTGCCCCAAACATCCTGTGAAGGCTACACGGGGGATTGTTGTCGTTGTGGTGTCTTTGTCGATGTGTGTGCATGCGTGCCCCGTTTGTTGTGGTGACTCATTGCCCCCCTTCCGACTACAGGCGAGCATCAATGTAAGTGAAAACAAAGTTTGTTTTCTATTCATGTAAATGTATTTTATGTTTAATTTACTATACAGTATTTTTTTTTACATTGTTGGATGCAAATGTACAACATTTCTTCTTTATTATTAGTCTAACAATGCTTCCCTCTTTGTTGAACCCTAACAAATTTTATAACCATGTCAGCATTTAAGTACGGTGCATTATTGTTTTCCGACTTACGAACCGTTCGACTTATGAACGAGTCTCAGGAACAAATTGCGTGTGTAACGTGAGGACTGCCCGTACGGGATATAATTGACCACATGGGATACAACTGCTTACAATTGGGTCTATTAGGAATCACATCACGACCGTTTGCTGATTTGTCCAACAGGTGGCAGACAGAGCTCGAGTTTGAGTCTGGGTTGGTACTGACCTGAGTCTCTCATTTACGGGAGCCTGAAAAACACAAACCCGCATTTCACATTAACATTGACATCATAAACAGATGCCCAAACCTCCACACAGTCGCCTGCTATTTAGAGTGGATTGCGACATCAAGGAATTAACAAATACCTGCACACGGGAGAATGGTGAAAAACAGAGTTATCTGTGTGCCTTTGTACTGTTAAGCCTATTCTTATAAAATGTTGACTTAAATATTTCGTGACTGCAGGTATTCATATGCTTGTGTTTCAAACAAAATTTCGCGAGTTTTTTTTATATTTTTAATATTGTTGATATATATATTTTTATTTTAGTGTTTTATTATTTATGTATGTTTTTATTTTAAGTCTACGTGACTTCACCGAAAGAACCATAGGATATTAATTCCTGCAGTCACGAAAGCTTTAATTCAAAACATAGAATACCTATTATTATTATTTTTTTCAACAATAACAGGATTCCTTTCACTGAATACGGACCCCAACAAATGACACAGCCACTCCTTGCAGGTCTAGTCTAGCAACTAAACAAATGGTTAAGTAATGTTCAACAACTCGTGTTTTTTAACTCTTGTTCAGTAGCGAGCTGCCTACCACAATGATAGCTCAACGAACTGGCTTATGTGGACATTTATAATTTCAGCCAAATACTCTGAATGCGTGATGTTGTTTCTAAATGGAGTGAAAAACCAGAGGACCTGGAAAAAGTCTACGCGATCACAGAGAGAGGGAGACGTAGACTAAAAATTTACAGCAGGCATCGTCGGGGTCGGGGTCAAACCCACGACCTACTCCATACCAGGCGAGGTAAATAGCGATGTTGTACTGGACAAGTCAAGGTCTGAATGTCACACGGAAGCAAACGCGTTTCTATTTATGGACACCGCTGATTCCTCCCAGATCGTAAAACACTAAAATAAGATTGCCAACAATGTGAATGTCTCACAGGGTGGTGCACCTCTGCTGGTTGGAGATAAACCCTCTGATAAACCAAGGCTGTGAGTATAAACTACTTTTTATACCTTACTAGGTAAGGCCCACTGAGCTATATAGCTCTGCTTCAGAAGTAACCTTGCCACAAATTATAACTAAAAAAGTGGCTTATCGTGTGGAAATTTATAGCAGCAAAATATTCTAAACGCGTGATGTTGATTCTAAATGTGGAGGGAAAAACCTGAGGACTGGGAAAAATCCACGCAAGCACGAGGAGAGAGAGATATGCAAACTCCGAATATACAGCAGCAGACGTCAGGGTTGGTATCGAACCCACGACCTCCTGCATATCAGAAGAGGTAGCTAACATCTCCTAGCCACCCTGGCGAGTGAATGGAGGTGGTGCCACCTGCAGGAAGGAGAGCGGGTCCTGTACAGCGAGGGCGGCGAGCAGCTGGTTGATCTCCTGCTCCAGGCCACGTGCTCTGCTCTCGTAGCGAGCGATGTCCGCCTGGATGCGGGACAGCACGGAGCGGCCCTCCTCGTCCACGCGCTCCAGCGCCTCCCTCTCCTCCTCCGTCAGCTGCTCCCTCCGGCGCTCAAACTCTCGACTGATCCGCTCCTTGGTCCCACGCAGAGACTCCTACACAGTGATACGATGACGCGCTATTGAAACGCAACACGACACAGTGCGATGTGACGTCATGAAGGACTTCGACACGGCCACGTCTAATAAATCCGTACAAAGAGGCGGGCGACTTAATTTTTGAAAACGTCGAGTAATGAAATGCATAAAAGGAGATTTAGTGAGGATATTAATGGGCACTCATGCCAAATGCTAAGTACCCATATAGTTTGGGTGTTTGTCTGTACCTGCACGTGTCTGTGTGTGCTCTCTGTACCTGCACGTGTCTGTGTGTGTTTCGCTGTACCTGCACGTGTCTCTCTGTACCTACACGTGTCTGTGTGTCTCTCTGTACCTGCACGTGTCTGTGTGTCTCTGTACCTGCACGTGTCTTTGTGTCTCTCTGTACCTGCACGTGTCTGTGTGTCTCTCTGTACCTGCACGTGTCTGTGTGTCTCTCTGTAACTGCACGTGTCTGTGTGTGTCTCTGTACCTGCACGTGTCTGTGTCTCTCTCTCTCTCGGTACCTGCACCTGTCTGTGTGTCTCTCTCTGTACCTGCACGTGTCTGTGTGTCTCTCTCTGTACCTGCACGTGTCTGTGTGTCTCTCTCTGTACCTGCACGTGTCTGTGTGTCTCTCTGTACCTGCACGTGTCTGTGTGTCTCTGTAACTGCACGTGTCTATGTGTCTCTCTGTACCTGCACGCGCTTGTAGGCACGCTTGAGCTGCTTTGTCCGTGATTCTGCCGTAGTCTTCTTCTCCTCTCTCTCCGTCTTCTCGAGTCTGAACGCCTCCTATACACGGGGTAGACAAATACGCGATGTTTGGTTCTCCCATCATTGTCATCATCTGGCCCATGTCTTTAACCTGGATCCTTGCAGGCCAGTTTCGTGGATCGCCCAGCGATAATCATCGACCTTTTCAATCTTTCAACCTCCCAGGTTTGAGGTGGTCATCCGTGTCTGAGGTGGGTGGCTGGATCACAGCGCGGTGTAATGAGGAGTCCCCACTCCCACGCTCGTGTTTTCTTCAGTTTTCCTAACAATGGAATCTTGCGAAACCGAGAACCATAACCCCCCGATATATCTACAGCACACACTTTGCGTGACAGTGCGGTAAACACCCAAACTTAAATACGAAATATTACAAGAAACCAAGCTGAGTGCCAGAGCTGTATTAGGGTACAGACAGCTCTGGTGCTGATAGGGCTGCTGCTGGGGCGTGTTGGGACAAGTTGGACAGGACTAAGCGGAGGGGAGAGCCATGTGACCAGGTTTGTATCACAGCACGCTAACCACTACACCACTGCTCTCCAAAGCAGAACAACTGCACACTCATGTCACAGCTTAAACATTCCTAGAAATATTCTTAGTTTTTTCGGTAATGTCACGTTGAAGGGAAACAACAAAATAATAAAATATATATAAAACAAAAAAAATTCTCACGACGTTTCGACTAAAACACAAACGGTCGTCTTCAGGTGTGTTGGTTTGCATATTTTTTTTTTAAACGGCGCATTTATTTATTTATAAAAAAACACACTCAGAATGCTGTAGTCACACTGAGGGATATTTGATTACAGCAGCGATTTAGATCTCACCTGTTTTGTCCGTTGTGCATTTTCCAGTGGAATGACCTCATGCCCTCTATGTTCCCCAGCGATGGTGCAGACTGTGCAGACCAGGCTGTCATCTTGTTCACAGTAGAACTTGATCTGCTCCTGTCTGTGCTGCCGGCAACGTCGCTCCTCCAGGATCGCGATGGGAGCCACCAGGACGTGGCCACTCAACCTGGGATTCTCCAAGTGAGGCCTCGCGTGTCTTGCACAGTAGGACATCTCACATTTCACGCAGGTCCTCACTGCAGGAGTGTGGCCGTCAGTGCAGTTGTCACACACAACGGCCGCGGCCATCCCGTCTCCAACTCTGAGCTGCTCCGCCAGGTTGGCGAGGGCCACGTTCCTCCTCAGCTGGGGTCGCACAGGGAAGGTCGCTCGGCACTGCGGGCAGCTGAAGCTGCTCGCCGTCTCCCAGATGGTCTCCAGGCACCGCAGGCAGAACGTGTGTCCACAGCTCAGCGTGGAGGGGCAGACGAACGTGCCCAGTCAGATGGAGCAGCGCAGCTCACTATCCACACTCTCACTGGGAGTCGCGCTCGCCATGACCCATGGCTTCGCTTAGGTCGCTCGCTGTGTGACTCAAAGAGACGCTGGACCAGGACCTATCTTTCATAGCGACGGTGAAGAAGGAAGTAAATACTTACAATTTTTCATTGTCGTCAATGACATCACGAGACACCGCCTGGAATGTGAACCCGCGCCCTGAGGTGTGCAAACAGCAGCCTCAAGGTGAACACGGCTACTGTACACACCTTGCCATTTAAAGAAATGAGTGCTGTTGTTAATATAAATCGGTGAGGCTCAGCTGCGGTGGCTCATTCGTGAGATGAGTGTCGAGAGATGAACTTCTACAGCAAGTTGGTGGCAAGATGTTTTCTCCCTCGCCCGGTATACAGGAGGTGGTGGGGTTTGATCCCAATCCTGACGCCTGCTTCATATTTAAAGTTTGCGTCTCTCTCTCCGTGGTCGCGTGAATTTTTCTCCGGAAAATTTTACAATCAACATCACGCGTTTAGAGTAGTTGGCTGCAGTACATTACCACGTCATAAGCCATAATTTGTGGTCAGGTCGTTTCAGAAAATAGCCACATTGCTCAGTGAGCGTTGCCTGGTAAAATAAAAAAAAATGTTAGCATAGTTGTAGATATCTCATGATGTCCTGTAACTCCATCTAAGTGTAATTACCCCAATGTGACAAGTTGCTTGAATGTCCTAGTGGCATCTGAGATGGAATTTGCCTGTAGCCTCCCGTGACAGATCCTGGGATCTTGAGCCTTTTGCTAGCAGTGTGAATCTATCACCAACTCTACCTGCCTCCATCAACCACTGCTGGCGATGTCACCGTCTCTCACTCTCACCTTGTCCGAGACTGCAGATCCCCGTGCCGGCCATTCACAGCCGCACCCACCGCTTACTTCAGGTGCGTTGTTGTTTCACATTCACACGCACGGCTACTCAACGCGCATGCACACGCAGCAACACAAATGCCCATCGGTGTTCACCATCATTGTAAACAAATTTAAAATAAATTAAACTAAACTATTTTAAAGTTACCAGGTGTAATGCCCCACTGAGCTATTGAAATATTATTTTTCAGAAGCGACCTGCCCATCACAAATGACAGCTCAACAAAGTGGCTCGTCATGTCGTAAATGCATAGCAGCAAATAATCTAAATACTGAACTCTAAACGCTGCTTGAACCCAGAGACGCTCTCTTGGGCTCTGCGGGTTGTTCACAGCAGATAACGAATGCCTTAGACTCTACACCCAAGTCGGACTTGTGGGAATACCCGACCTGCACGAAATTAAACATACGGCCTGGACTAACGGATAAATAAGCGACACTGCGTTTGAAAGCTTCCTTCTACAAGGTCACCAATGAGAGCGAAGGGGGTCCCCACGATGTCCACGGCTCATTCCTTGGTGCAGCAGCAGCGACGGCTCAGTGCTCAATGAGGCGCAGTGGCTCCAGGCCAAGCAAGCAGCGTGATCCGCCGCCGGTTTTGCAGCCAACAAATCCTCGCAGCGTCCGGGGAAAGCCGTCTAGGTGGCAGCTCAGCACTCCTGGGGTGCCAAACAGCCCACACGCATCCAGTTACACTCACACACTCACTCACTTACACACTCACACTCACTCAATTACACACTCAATCATTTGCACACTCACTTACTTACACACTCACTCACACACTCACACACTCACTCACACACTCACTTACACACTCACTTACACACTCACTCACATACCTACACACTCACACACTCACTCACTTACACACACACTCACACACTCACTCACTTACACACACACTCACTCACTCTCACACTCACACACTCACTCACTCACTCTCACACACTCACTCACACAATTACACTCTCACACTCACACCCTCACTCACTCACACACTCATCAATAACAACAACCGCCATTCGCCACTAAGTGGCGGTGACGTCACCACGACGCTTGTGCCAGGCCATGTGCACACACTCACTAACATACTCACACAATCACTCACACACTCGCACACGGGCCTACGGTCTCTCTCTCTCTTTCTCACTCACCGCTTGTATAAAGCCATCTATGTCCCGTCTGTATACTCCCGTACATGAATATGTGCATCTCTCGTCTGTGTCTCTAGTCTGCATGTCTCTATAAAAAGTCCTCTGTGTTGTGTAAATGCCGTTTCCAAAAAAATATATTAAGAGTGATATTGCCTATTTTAACGTAACAGTTTTTTTTTCTCTGCACATATCTGGATTTAAATCGTTCTAAAAGAATAAAAATGCATAATATGAATTACGCAAAATTTCCGCGACCATAATAACATGTATTAATAACAAATATTCCAGTTGTATAACCGCCTGCTCAACCGCCTTTGTCTTCCCAGTGGCTGTCATTGCTGCAGCAGGAATTCGTATTAAGGATGAGTCGACCGAAAGAGGGGGGAAGGCCGTTCCACAATAAACAAGGCTACAGACACACACCACACCAGGGCAGCAGTGGAGAGAGCACGGCACTCTCCCTCAGGGCAGCAGCGATGAGAGTGCGGCTCTCCCCCAGGCCAAAAGTGGAAAGAGCGCGGCTCTCCCTCAGGGCAGCAGTGGAGAGAGCGCGGCTCTCCCTCAGGGCAGCAGTGGAGAGAGCGCGTCTGGCTCCCTCAGGGCAGCAATGGACAGAACACGGCTCTGCCCCAGGGCAGCAGTGGAGAGAGCACAGCTCTGCCTCACTCTCACTCAGCCGTCTCCTAACTGTTACTCACCCGTTTCTTGCTCACGGTCACGTGACGCACTTCAACCAATCCGTGCCGCGTTAATCACAGTCACAGAATGACAGAATGACAGAGCTGAGTGTTTATATAAAAATTTATACTTGTGTTTTGTTGGCATTCAGTACGGATTGATGTGTCGGTATATTTGCGTGGGTGCTGTCGTTGCTATTAATTCCTGCTGATCAGAGTTCTGGATAATTGAGTAAGTTGATGTTAAATTTGCTTAGATTATAAACAAGTTTCAGCGTGCTTCTTTCCTTTCTCATGCATTACTGTCGTGATGAGGAACTGTCTTCTGCGGTGAGATCTGAATCCCGAGACCTGACGTCATTACACACGTCATTGTTAAAGCGAGAATCATAAATGTTAAAGCGATCATAATATCAGAGAGAGAATCATTGATAATATCACGATCGGTGAAACATACCCCAATGCTAATAATGTAATCGCACCACAAAATAACTGCACACGCAAACACATAATCACTAACACATAATCACACCCACATACCCCTCAACAACGAGAGAGCCAATAATTATTGCACTACATAATAATAATGACACACACAAAATCATACGTGAATACCCCTACACAATGATATCACACAAAAGCATAGTCACACGTACATGCCCCTAGACAACACATAATAACATATACACATTAATCAGGTTAAGAACCACTGTCTACAGGGACCGATCTCCGCTCATAAACCACGAGACCCCTGAGGACTACGGATCGCCTCCTTCTGAAGACTCCGAGGTCAAGGCTCTGTTGGTGTGGTGATGGGGTGGATGGGTGGGTGAGTGGGTGGGTGAGTGGGTGGGTGCGTGGGTGAGTGGGTGGGTGAGTGGGTGGGTGAGTGGGTGGGTGCGTGCGTGGGTGAGTGGGTGGGTGAGTGGGTGGGTGAGTGGGTCGGTGCGTGGGTGAGTGAGTGGGTGAGTGGGTGGGTGAGTGGGTGGGTGGGTGGGTGAGTGGGTGGGTGAGTGGGTGGGTGAGTGGGTCGGTGCGTGGGTGAGTGAGTGGGTGAGTGGGTCGGTGCGTGGGTGAGTGAGTGGGTGAGTGGGTGGGTGAGTGGGTGGGTGGGTGGGTGAGTGGGTGGGTGAGTGGGTGGGTGAGTGGGTCGGTGCGTGGGTGAGTGAGTGGGTGAGTGGGTCGGTGCGTGGGTGAGTGAGTGGGTGAGTGGGTGGGTGAGTGGGTGGGTGGGTGAGTGGGTGGGTGAGTGGGTGGGTGAGTGGGTCGGTGCGTGGGTGAGTGAGTGGGTGAGTGGGTCGGTGCGTGGCTGGGTGAGTGGGTCGGTGCCTGGGTTAGTGGGTGAGTGAGTGGAGGTGGGTGAGTGAGTGACTGAGTGGATAAATCCCCCTTTACCCTCCCCCCCCCTGCCAAGCCCTGCCCGTCTACCCTGCAGGCTCTGTCTATTTTCTGCTTTCCATACGCGGGGTGCACTGGTGGCAGGACCCTACGGATGCAATTCCCAACTCTCGAAGTGTAAATTATTGTTGTAGTTATTGTAATTTGCACACGTTGAGTAGTAAGTAGTCTCCCTATAATGTACAAAAGCGTCTTTTACAGCAGGAAAAAAAATAATGTATATTCTAAATAAATAGCAAGAGAAAATATTTCAGCTTCTTGTTTTGAGTTTCATTTTGACACTTGCGTGACGAAACTTCTGCTTTTTAAACACAAACAACGCTGTAACATTTAAATATTTATTTATTATCTTTGTTTGTTTCTTCTTCTAACGTCGTTCCAAAAGGACTCCCCAAAACCTTCCTCCCAGGTGGACCACTCAGCAATTGTTATTCCAGACAAGTTGCCAATAACAACACTAATACGTGGTCATCTTCTTTGGTTCTTTCGGTAAAGTCACGTAGAATGAGAATAAAACAATAAATTGATAAAATAAAATAACACAATAATATTCTCACAACGTTTCGGCCACAACACAAGCGGCCTTCATCAGGTGAAGGGGCGAGACTGTCTGGTAGGACAGCGCTGGAGTGAAAGAGCCACGTTCAGATTACGGGGATTGTTTGTATTTGCTTGCAGTTACTGGCGAGTTAGGACACCTCACAAAATGGACAATTGGTTCAAATATTGACGTTCATTTTTCACGCATTTATTTCCCAGAACCACGTTGGGTCAGGCAAGGGCGGTACTCGGTTTGAACAAAATGCAACAAAGGGGGCACAGCAGTGGCCAACAAAGATTGAGAACCACTGCTGTCAACATTGCGTGGACCATCCCATTGCGTGCCTGGCACAGGAGTGATCCAGATGTCTGGTGACCCCGCCCCCACCCCTAATTATTTGACCCCTAACACTTTTTTTTCCTTTGCATGTTAATTCCTATTTAAAATAAGCCTTACTTTAAAATATACATACAATTTTAGAGAATTAAATGGGGGAGAGGGAGGAGGATGGGGTCATAATACATCTGGACCACCCCTGTAATGTTAAACTTCGGCACTTGTAAGACGACTGGAGTGGTGTTGTGTCACGTGATGGAGGTGTGGAAGTTGCCCGTTTAAACAACAGCTTTAAACATCGCACAGAGCACCCAGCATGCCCAAGGCACAAACTGTAAGTAACAACAATGTTTATTCTACCATGTAAGGCTCCACTGAGCTATGGAG